ATTGGAGTTGCTTCATTTCGCCAAAGAAGTATTACACTGCCTTTCTTCACGTTCTTGAAAGGTGTGCTCTTGAAAGGTAAGACATTGAAGGAATGGACCCAAAGAATGGACAGCTTCCAGTTAGCCATTGCAAGGAAATTAATTGAAGTTAAGGTGTGCCTTCTAACTAGAATTTCGAGATCACCTGGTGACGAAGATTCATTGTATGAAGCCACATCTTGAAAATGTGACATATGGTTCCTGCTGAATAGCAATATATCAAACATTCAGCACAGACTGCGAACGAAGTTTTACTCCAGAGCAGGTTTTGGAGCTCAATCATCGAACAGTCAGACTCGTCATGGAACCATAGAAAGATCAAGCTCGCACATCGAGATGAAGAGGGATTGCTTTGAATAATCGTGAACACAGTTTTTTTCAGAGCTTTTAAAGTTTCTTGTATCAGCAGCAGATCTGGAACCTTAGCTCTACTTTCGAAGCCCTACTTTCGAAGGAAGGCTGCAACTTTAATTAATAATTATGCCCCAATATATCACAAGCAAGGAAATGCAAGAGAAAGGCTTATAAACCAAAGAACCAAACAATAGATCTATCGACGATTTAATGATGATTCATGGTTACATACTATATTTTATGAATATAATTTATTTCCACATAGCACGTATTTATCAAACTACACTTTTTCATGTTTAACTTTAAAAGTAACTACAGTTCAAAAGGTAAATTGGACTGAACTAAACTGAGATAATTTAAACGTTTTCAAAAGTTTCCATACGTATTTGCATGCAAAAGTATAAAAATAATATCTGGCACAAAATCCACATGTAAGCTCAATAAATACGAATTTTTTGGAAAGATATAAGCAAAGTTATACACACACACACACACACACACACACAAAAAAAAAAAAAAAAAAAAAAAACAAGCGAAATTCCTCAATGATGTAATCTTGCTAGTAACGAAAAATACTAAGCATTAATTAAAAAAAGAAAAAAATCATGATTATGCTAAGACGTCAACCATATAAAAATACACATAGAAAGAGAAAAACAATCCTACCTGTTTATGCATCTCAACGTTTAAACCATACGACATTTCGTAATACTGAAAAAGAAAAAGGCCACATTTTAGATATAAAAAATCATTGCATTACGAATAAGAAGACAATTATCAGTAACAAATGCAGGTGAGAGGATCAAAATGAAGGATAAATAATGGTAAGATTTTATATTTTTTAATGCTAACCTTTTTATTAAATCTTATTTAGCGTCAAAATATTTTCAAGAAATTAATACCATACATATTGATTGAATTTTCAAGAAATTATACAAGAAACTTCCTTTATTTTAAAAAAATAATAACTGCAGAATATAAAATTAATAGAAAATAAAGTTGAACAGAAGTTAAATTTTCAAATTATTGAAAAAGAAAATGTAAACAGCATTTTATACTCAAAATAACGATAATGGATATTGAATCTTAGATCATTAACTTACGAATAAGAAGGTTCTTACAAAACTCCCTTTAAATTTAATCTAGCGAAGTAACTTTTCATAGCTTAAATTTTCATAAGGATCGAAAAGTGTAAGAAAGTTTCACAGTAATTACTCTGAAATCACCACAAGAGTTTACATCATCGAAAAGCTTTCCAAATTTATCCGTAAGTGGCCCTGAACACTGAGGAGTCTAACTCTTCCAATTAATTTGCATAATTAGGGGAACTGCACTTCATATTTCTCGAAAAATTCCTCAGATTAATATAGATGATTTTTCCCAAGCACTGTAGAACAAACCTCTACTTATTAAAATTTATCCCAGATATTTAATTAAAATGTACGTATTCTAAGATATGTACCTAATACCTCTTATAACAACAAGTCAGAAAATTAGAAAAGGTAAATTGGTTTTAAGAAGCCACAGGAATGCAGAGAAGTACCAAAGATATTGAATGGTAGAATGGACAAATTAATAACCATTTTAGACTGAAAGCAGAATAAGTGGAACTGACTCCATAAGAAATTTAGAGTGATCGTGAATGTATATTAAAACAGTATGAATAGATTCAGAAATATCTTCGATGATTCGGGATTCATTCATTCAGAAGAGCTTTAGCAGTAGTCGTTCTATTTTAGAAATAGGAGAACCAGATATAGTATACCATCTAAATACCAGTGCATCAAGATAAAAAGGAAGAAATTTAAGAAAAGAAACATATTGACTCTTTGTGGTCAAGTACATAACAGTTGATTATAACAGTTAAATCCGTAATGGTGGACTAAAATATCACTCATGTTCGGAAATGGTGGCCAATAATAGTAGAAGAAATATCGCATTTTTGATTATACATTCCGTTACGGCAAATTTAAAGAAAAAATAATTTAAATAACTTTAATAAATGTAAATTTAAAGAAAGAAAGACTAGCACTGAAAGATCACTCGCTCCCCCCCACACCCCCCAAAAAAGATCTAGCAACATAACTTTTCTCGAAGGGTTTTAACTCTTCTTAAAATTCTTTTTTTTACTGCTTCTGCATATCTTAGAATGCTGCCTGTCTAAATAACATCCTAATGCATTGAAGTAAAGACGTAATTCTGAAGTTGTTTTGTATAGAAGGTGTATGATTTGGGGTTTCAGTATTTTTAGTCGGACAACTGATCGGTTAATACTTTTATTCTAGTTACGATTGATTAGCAATCCGACTTAAATTGTAGTTAAAGTTAGCTGGCAAAATTGTGATTTGTTTTTTCAAATTATACAACTGCAATTATTTCTCTTGCAAACTTCTCTAACAATACAGACTTCTCAAGAAAGAATTGCTAACTTTGACTGTCAGTGAAGTACACTAAAGTTTAAGTGAATTTAGCAACAGGAAAATAATTTTTTCATCTCGGAAGTTGTACGTTAGGTAAGTTTAACAGCTATATCGAAGAAAGCAATGCCCTCGCCGGGACTCGAATCACGGACCTCTCGAAATACGCGCCGAGTGTGCTGATCAGTACACCACGAAGGCATGCTAAAAAGAGGGGAGAAATACCTTATAAGTTTAGGTCTTAATAAACTGCAACAATTACATACGAAGTACAAAACTATTAGAAAAAAATGTTGTTATGTCTCCATTTTTCAAATGCTTTCCCGTGGTACTTGGAATGTTTTATTGGGTTAAAATTGAGGATTTTATTAGTTTCGATTAATAATTAGTTTTGACTAATAAAATTATTTGTAACTAACACAGCATAACATAAAAGCTTCGAGAGGAGAACTAACTTCTTTATAATTAAGTATAACAAATGGAAGTAGAGATAAAGCCTTCAACGCAACAATTGATATAGCATTATGAAGGCTCAGTTTCAGTAACTGAAAGCTGACATAAAGTTATTTATTCGAATAAATTATTATACCCGAGATAGTGCAGTAAAGATTTATAATATTACTGCAAAGTCATTAAAACAGGCATAATATCTTGATTGTGAACTGATTATCTTATTACTTACATTTCATTACAGTATATTAACATCACACAATCATCAAAATCTGTGTTAACAACGCAAGCTGATTCAAAAGTTTCTAGAATGAATCTTATACTTTGTATCAGATGACTCATTTCTAAGGTATTTCTCCCGCCTTCTTAGCGTGCCTTCATGGTGCAGTGGTCTGCACAGTAGGCGCATATTCCAGAGGTCCGCGATTCGATTCCCAGAGAAGGCGTTTCTCATTTTCTATCTTGCCTGCTTCCAAAAATACCTAATGTCTCTACAAGTTGAGCACTTCGCATTGAATTACACATTTCACTGTGTTTTATTAAAGATTTAAAAACATGAAATAGACTCTTTTATCATATTCTCCTTAATACTACTGATGCAGTTCCTCGTCAGAAGAGATTCTCTGCCGTAGAGAACCATAGTTGCCTCTTCAATGCTAAGAACGTCCAGAAATCACATCTTCACTAAGTCTAACAATTAACAAGATATTCTAGTGTTGAGATATCGATTTTAAACAATGCCACAGCATCAACATGCAGCCAGACAATTGTTCTGGAGTAAAACCTCAGTTTCTGGAGTAAATGCAATCTCTCGGTAGTACCTATGTGAATGGTTTTAGAGACTAGTGCGTTATAATCACTATTCACACTCTGCCCATGGATGTACAATGTTGATAGTAGAGAATTTACCAGAACATGCTTTGTTGTAACGCTGAAGTTACAGTCTTGAAATGCCTCTGCTATGTTTCATCACCGTTTGTATACTATAACAACAGAAGTGTTTCGCTACAAATCTTCCCAAGTTTAATATAAAAATCAGTCGCATCTCTTTTATGTAGAAACAGAGACATCCATCTCACCTCATAGTGCAAGCGTACTAAATACTTCTATTCGCTGTCATAAAATATCGAAGACCATGGCTGTACAATAGCAAGTTCAAACATGTTGATGCATAACCTTCAGAAAATTCAATATTAGGTACCCATATCTAATTTTCGGATAGGGAAACAGTGCCAGTCTGAAACAAAATAAGCTTTTCAGATAATAAATTCCAAGCACGGACTTAATTCAGTTAATAAACATATTTATTTAAATTCCCATCTAAAAGCTATTGAAATTGTAAACCTGTGTATTCTACGTATATTATCTTTCAACGGACTTAGCATATTGTATCTCTAAAACTTTGTTTCAGCATAATGAATGAAAATTGCTTAAGCATAGAACGACAATGCAAATGAAATCAATAATTTGTTGAAAACTGAAACTAGTTTAAACTTTATAGCTTAATTTGGCTTAGAATAACCAACAGTTAGTTATTAACAATACTGTTTATTCCTCTCTTGATTAATTATTAAACTTAACCATAAATGCTCATTGGAAGAGCTAAGTTTGATGCGATTTGCTTGGCTGCAGATCAGCGCTCGATAAGCTAATCAATCAAAGCAATCCTGCAAATTCCAGTAAGCTTGTTATATTAAATAAGGCTTTTGTCAGCATACGGCAAGTACTGTAAAAGTAAATGAGATTTTGGATCTTCTAGAACTAATTAACGTACGATTGGTAGCTATGAGCTTAGTCTTACCTATTAAATGAATTCAGTAACTCCGTTTAGTTACATACTAAGCTTCAGTTTAAAGATAATTTTAAACAATTAATCTTTTACATAACTAACAGAGATTTGATATTTTGTAAATAAAGGTGCTTACCATGACGTAATGCCGCTGCATCTCTGTCTTCTCACTAGCCAGTTTCTCACATTCTAATTTCAGGCTGGTAAAAGAAAAAGAAATAAATTTTCATTAAATTTAATGCATTACTATACAGAAATGATACTATAAAGATGAAATCAAAATGAAATGTATTGTAAATTCATTTAATGCTATGATAATAATAATAATAATAATGTAATTTATAAAACAGAGGGAAGCAATATTTTCAGTGTTTAACTTCTTGCTACAGAGAGGACTAAAAACTGAGGAAATACGGAGAAATTTAGACAGTCTACCTGAAGATTCCAGATAAACAACTGATATTTTGCCAAAATACTTCCCTTCTTAACATAACGAACTTAAAATAAACAGCAAACGAACTGCATAGTTTTTACATATAGAAATATGGCAACACAAAATATCTTCGTATTTCATTGGTCAAATGTGAAGGATATTTGCAGATCACTTGGGAGTGCATGGCTCTGCTATTTTACAGTTACGAAAATATACAACGAAAAGCCAGCTGTAGTGTTTGCAAGCCCACCATTGTTCAAGTAATAAGACCTTTGAGCATTGATAGTTCGATCTGGGTTCAAATCCCCGCTAATGATCTAGCTACATATTTCTCGTGATTTTTCCCATACATTATGGTTTTCCTTAAGTATAATATGAATCCTAACTACATTCCCTTACGAAATTCCTCTTCGAAAACATGTCTCTCATACCTTTAAGCAGGTAGCTTTATTGCGCTATAATCCAAATAAATCTGCTATGATTCAATTAAATCTGCTATAATCCAAATAACTGAATCCAATTCAACGCTAGCGTCGGAGAGCTTAGGGGTTAAAAATGATTATTCATATTAAAGAAGTTACAGAACAGGATTTAATAAAACTCTTATACGCTGACGTAAATTGCAAGAGTCCACAATAAATTTATTACTATTTATAGAGAAATCTATATATTTCACAAGACAGTCAAATGAGAACACAAGTATAAAAAACGCGCAGCGTTGCGAGATACACTTTCTGTGTATCAAGCTGAAAATTGCTGATAACTAGATTTTGACCATACATATGAGCTTGGCTCAACCACCTAATTAAAAGTCCCATAATTCTAACATTATCCTCGAGACGTTTTCATAGTTGCCCTTCTTTAAAACACCTACATGGAATCTATTTAGAGTGATTTCAGGCTAGAGCATCAGAACAACCTCGACAAGCTCCTAAATGGTTTTGATAAAGGTACAAACCACATGTAGCTAACTCATTGGATATAAGTGTTTTAATAGCACTGGGAAATAATTTTGATCGTCATTATCTTAAATACCCCAAACTATTTTGAAACCTAGAAATTTTTTATCGGAATGACATATACATATATTAAATTTCAAATTTAATATTTTTTCGAGCTCTTTTATTGAAAACATGGTGAAGATAAAAAAAAATTCTTTTTGCGAACAAAAGTCATATTTTTAAACACGGACATTCAATAGCAAGAGCTGAACAGAAAGAAAACTGTATGATTGCTTTCGAGTCAGAAATTCAGACCCCACAGCAAAACGTAGAGAGAAAAATAATCTTTTTGCTTTGGCTGATGTACAATTCCAGTGATTTCGAGGCTCAAAAAGGCATGTTTGTAAGCCTCAGAAAAAAAAAAAAAAAAAAAAAAAAAAAAAAAAAAAAAAGAAAGAAAGAAAAGAAAAGAAAAAAATAAGAACAGCTGAAAGGGAAAATGATAGAAGTGATGAAAAATGCTAATGCTTTCTAATATATGCAACAAACAGCTGATCATATTACAATACTCTAAACAAATGCTCTGATAAAGCTTCTTCAAATTACATTTTAAAATATTTAAAAGCACAAAACATAAAAAGCATAAAACATAACGCATATATTCCAGAGCATCCTCAGCTTAACCTTTGGATTCCAAGTATGAAACATCTGACGATAACCTCTTTTGATACTGTTGACTAGTATTTCTGAGTACATAAACACAGTAACTCTCTACACAGTAAGTAACAGTAAGTAACCGACAGTAAACTCTCTGAGGTGATGATAATTATAGGAAAAAGTCTTCTGGAAGGGAATTAAATAATGATACTGAACGTTTTTGATTTTCTTTCGCAAGGTGCACGCTTCTATCGAAGGTCAAAATAGTTCGGAATTATAGCTGTTCTTCTTAGACAGGTTTCGCTATATATAAAAGGCTGGCCAATACAATGACAACATTATGAAGAAAATATGCAATGACTTTAAAACATATATAACATGAAAATGGTTAACAATGCAATGCATGGTGAAAGTTATGGACACCAGTAATAAAAAAAATCCCTGTCTATTTGAGTTAATACCTGGCGTTTGCTAATTTTTTATGTACGTCGCATTTCCTCGCTGTTTACTTAAGAAGGAGACCAAAGTATGCTTTGTGTAAATCACTGCGAATATGGACTCGTATGATATGGGCTTAGAACACCGGTTCTCAAACTGTGGTACACGTATTAATGGTGGTACAAATTACAATATTTTTAGTGGTACGATTTTTACAGAAAAAAAATTAAATGAATGTTAAAAATGAATGTAAAATTGCGCCCCTTTAACATTTTATTTTAATCTAATCTAATTTATTTTAGTCAGAAACACATATATTTTTCAAGTTTTTGACTTTTACGGCTCTAGCTTTAATGTTGAAATGACGACTTCAAAAAGATAACTTATGCAGTTTTGGGTTAAAAAGAACAGATGAATATATGGGTATATTTTGGACAAAGCGATAAAGTTTTTAATGCCTTTCAACACGTCATATCTCTGGGAAACTGGATTTCCAGTTATGCTATTAATCAAAAATAGATATAGAACATGGTTGCAATTTGAATCGGATTTGTGCTTGAAATTAATGAAAATAAACCTGACATATATAAATTGGTTTCAGTAAAACAGGCTTATTAGTCGCATTAATTCTCATCATTAATTAATCTTATGGTGCTATAAAGCAAATATAATACCTCACTGATATTTAACCTAACATTTTTTTTAACTAATGGCAATGATAGTTTCGTATACAGTCTCAAGAATAAACAATCCTAAATCTGACATGTGTTCGACATTTAGTTTGTTTGACAGTGTTTCATATGATTATAATTCTATTTTTTGCTTCGTTTAAGATTAAGTTGCTTGTTAATAATACGAGTAGTGTTATAGAGAAACAACATTGTTAAGGTGCGGTATTGCATTTTATGGTCTTGGTTTATTTTAATAATTTGTTTTACACCTTAACCACAAAACCATGTAAATACGTTTAATCACATGCTTCAATTAAAAGAAAACTGACTAAATTTCACAACATTCACCATTTTTTTTAAAATCTTGTACTATCTAAAATGTCAAAAAGACAGAATGTATACATTTTTTAAACGTATCTTTTCAATGCTGGCCCTGTGACTCAGGTGTCTTCTTTGCTTTTGTAAAACTATATTATTTGCTTAATATATATATTATTACTCATTATTTACCACAATTGTTATATATATATATATATATATATATATACTGTAGTATACTTATTCATATTTTATTGTACTGTAAAAGTTTCATTGACGGATATAATTAAATAATATAAATTTAAATGGTTTTATTCTTTGATTATATACACTCCATTTAGGATGAATTGATTTTTCATGATGAAATGCTTTTATGGAAGTATATATATTTTTGTTTCATATTTACGTGGTACAAAATCTGAAAAGTTTGAGAACCCCTGGCTTAGAAGGAACTGAGAAAGCAATATATAGTCACATCTGCTCATGGCCCGTATGAATCGCAAGATCATGCCATGCACCCTGATTTAGGAATCTGAATGTACGGCAAGTGTCCATTTGCGTAAGATGCACCGTCGTGTGCAGGAGTGTTTGCAAGTCAGCCACCGTTTCGCCTACTTTCAACAGCCCAGCACAGGCATCCGCAGCTATAGTTCTGCGTTAAATGATATATGGATTTTTGAATGGCGTGACATCGTTTCGTCATATGAATTCCACGTTTGCGTGCATCATCATGGTGACCGCATCCTTGTGTGGCGAGACACTTTGTTGGAGCCTTTCGCCTAGGCTCAACTTAACTTTCCATTTTCATTTGGCTATTTCCCATTTTTATCCCACCAATGACAGATAATTTTGCAAACTGAATCAACAAGAACAGCAGAAACAGCTAGTAGGAACATAGTAATCAAAAACTGAAGTGACTCTGAATCTCAAATGAACCAAGCTTTCATCTTAGACACGTCGCATTCGTTCTTCTCTCTTCTCCTCTCTCTCTTGAGAGGTAGAACTGCTGCTGCTTCCCTTATCGTAACATGTCAGAAATGCAATAAATTCTAGAACAGATGTTTACTGCACCAATTTATTTACGTTGATTCATAAAAATATTTGTCAACGAACAAAAATGAATATTAAAATCGACCGTGATTGAAAGTTTCTTCTTGACGTTATCAACATATGTTTTCAAAATTCCAAAATATTTCATATATACGTATAAATTTTAGTTCAAAAAGTAATTATATTTAATATATTATCCTATCTGAGGAACATTGTGTAGGTCAATAATTGTGTCTGTAAATGTTTAAGCCCGAGAAAACGTTAGGCTCAATTTAAAGTAATTTAAAAAACGATCTAGTGGGATAATTTTATTAACTTACTACTTTTTCGCGATCAGTACTCTGTAAAATGCAATGCGCCATAATCTAATAATAAACTCATATCACTTCACCCATCAGATCGTGCCTGGTTAGCCTCTTTGCTGTAAGTTCTGCAACAGATTTCAGATTTTCAGCTTGATGGGAACATGAAATCTTCAACAAAGAAGAGTAATGAGGTTGTAGCTGTGCCATCGGAGAGCGCTTAAAGCGCAATAACGTGTAAAAAAGGTAAAAGCTCGTTTTTGGAGACGTTCCTGAAGGCGTTCAGTGACGTTGCGTGCACCTGCAGGATCGATACCGTCGAGGGCTTCAGTCATAAATAATGGAAGAAGCCGATGAATTTGGCGATACCCGCTCGAATAAGTAAATAAA